CCCGCGTGGCCACACTGTGGCCCGCCTCCACCCGGCCCCCCTTGCACCCACCTCCACAGACTTGCAGGGCCTCCCTCACTTCCACTCCGGCTAGTTTTGCCAGGGCACGTGGAGCCTGGAGTGTCAGATGGTGGGGACCCAGAGGCTTCCGTATCATTGCACAACCGCACAGTGCAACCCGCTAGGGAGCAAGTGTGCCTTCCACCTTAGCTTGACACACATCTTTGCATAGGGCATGGAGTGTGAGCACCCTGGATTTCAGAGTGTGAGGGTTCACTGGAGGCTGAGGGAGGGTTTACCCAGCAGCAAAATGGGTTAGCCATTCACTCCCAAGGTGAGCAGGACCAAGAGCACCTGTCTAGAAGCAAATAAACTGAGAGGTTCAGCCTCAAGTTAGTGGCCTCTATGGGCTGGCCACTGCCTTTCCCCCGGGCACACCCCTGTTCCACCACCTTCACCACAGTGCCTGGGCCCCCTAGTGACACATTCCTGTTGCCACTGGGCCATCTAGGACTGATACCAGCCTAGCATCTCTACCTAGCAGGCTAGGGCTATCTGATAGGTGGCTTCGAGTAACCGGGCTGCCCTGACTGGGGCTGGAGAGCCATTCCCACACACCCACGCAGCTCAACTTGGGTGAGTCAGGATCAGTCTTGTCTCCTATCCAGTCTTCCAAAACTCTCATCTGTTCATTGGGTGGTCTGGGCCAGGCAGAGCTAGGCCTGAGCTAGTACTCCAGCTAGAGTACTGATCCCAACGGAGGGGGAACAAAGGAGAGGGTCCTCTCGGGAGGCCAGCATGGAGGAGTGAGCCCTGGGAGCTCTGCCACACACACCCACGAGTCTCTGCATGCCTTCTGGCCGTGCCATCCTTCAATACAGCGCCAAGAACTAGAGGCCCCGCCCAGGCGGGCAGAGATTGGCGACTCGGGCTTCCAGTAGGCCTGCAGAAGCCGAGTGCAGTAGTCAATAATGAGTGAAGGGTCATGTTGGAGGCAGCTGCCTGTGCCCACATCCCAGCTCCAAACCGTCGGCTGTAAGTGGCAGTGGGAGTAAAGCAACCAGAGTGGACAAGGGATCACCAGGGAGGACCAGTCTGGTGGGGAACTGGTGGGACAGCCAAGGTTCTGGCACTGGAGTTGAGTGAGAGGAAAGCCAGGCATCAAGTTAAGAGGTAGGCACAGGCTGTGAGAACACCAATAAGGAAGAGCCTCAGTACTGGTGTGGGCTGGTCCTGGAGGAGGACATTGCCTGTGGGAGAGTGTGGGCCAGGCCTCGGGAGGGAGAGTGGGCCAGTGCAGCAGCTTTAGAATTCCCCCTACCCCGGAAGCTCCAGTTACCTTAGGATCCAGGGCACCAGAGGAGAGGGTAAAGGTTAAGGTGGGTGGGGTTTCTTGGTGACAATGGTGTGCAAGAGGGGTTGTGGAAGAAAGCTCAGTGGGGATTTCCCTGCCAGGGGCAGCAACTGATTAAGGGACTAGAGGCCAGGAGCCTTGCAGGCCTGGCTGGAAGAGGTTCAGAGGTTAGAACCTCAACCTGTGGCTGAGGTGCCACAGGCAGGCCACTGAGGTCTGTGAAGGGTGCGGCCAGCCGGGAGACATGGGACATGGTGGTTAGCAGACCATGCTGCCCATTCTTTGGGATACAAAGCCCTGTCCACGGAAGTCTGTGGAGACTGATGGTTGGACTCATCCCAGGCCTCAGGGAGTCAGCCTTCATCCTTCCACCCCCACTGCCCCTCAGGGTCCTGAAGAAGCAGAAATCACCAGTCTAGACTCAAAAGCTGGGAAGGAATGGGCATTCCTCCCTGCCATTGGCACCCACCCAGGGGTGACTCCAGGTGTAGGGTGGGTGAGGTACTGGGACAGGACTTATGTCAAAGGCAGGCCTTGGATAAGCTGTTCTCCCCGCTGATTGTTCACATGCAAATTTGGCGAATGCTTACCCCAGCCTGGGGACAGTGAAGGTCAAAGGTCCCTGACCTCTACCAATAACAGGGGCTTTCACTCCTAGGGTTTTACTGTTGACAGTGCTCCCCAGAAGAGGGTGCCCACCTCCATGTGAGCCCCACCACGAGCAGCCTACCAACTGACATCCTCCTGAAGGTCAGGCGCCCCTGCTGTCCACTCTGATGAAGTCTAGGCAGGCCTGTCTCTGCTGGGGTTCAGCCTGCTCTGGGATGACCTGGTTTGACTACATGTCTCCAAAGACTTTGGGCCTCTCAGCTCATACCTGCCAACCTGAGTATCAGGGGGCATTGCTGGGGCGGGGGGGGTCCCTGTTCCTGGCCTGTCCCTGACCAGCACAGTCCCACCCCTCATCTCAATTTGATTCATCCTGTCTAGAGCTTGAGAGCTGTGGGTGGCTGTGGAAGCCTCTCTGTCCCCTGGGTGGCCCCTCCCCAGAAGCAGCATGAGTCAGCTGTCTGTGGAGGCCTCCTCAGACAGTGGGGGTCAAGATGTGAGCAGCAGGAAGCAGAGGCCAGACTTTGCACCTTCTCCTGTTCCCATTTTCTCCACTGGCATTGAGAAGGGCTTGTTGGTGGCTGTCAAGCCTGAGGAGCAGCAGGAGCCCCTATGGGAAGAGTAGACACACCTCTGCAGGCCCTGCTGTACCTACTCGGGTGATTCTAGATCACTCTTGGGCCAGGCCTGAATTCAGGCTGGAGATCCTAAGCAGAGCCGAACAGCAGAGCCTAACCCCAGTTCCTGGCCCAGAGCAGACTAACCTGCCAGCTGCTTTGCA